TAGCGTGTTACCACTTTACCCACACCGGAGGGATGAATGGATTGGTGAGCCGTGAGCGCGAGATCGAACCACGGACCTCGTGTGCGACGCAGAACACCTCTAATCACTGCGCCGCGCGAGCTCTTCAAAATGCTGGGCACAGTGGAAAAAACAAAATAAAATCTAACGAAACAAAGTGAAATTAAATAATATAGAGTAGGAAAAAAAGAATAAGAGAATAAAATAGAACAAAGCAAACAAAATAAGACAAGGACATCGATATGCACTGATCCGCAGATTCCACAGTACGTAAATGTTGAGTGCGACAATGGAGCAGTAAATTAGCGCTGGAGCACATTAACAAGTAGACGAGGCACAAGTACACTGCGATGAATGAGGATGGCGAGATGATTTTCGTATGACTTCCTTCCGGTCTTTAGAGTCCCTGATAAGGTCATAATCTTGAGAGAGGCCAAAACACGTGTACTAAACTATATGAGTGCCCGAAATAGATCTCATGATGAACTCAAAATATGTTATCAGATTATCTATTGTTTTGAGTGAGGTCGCAAGATAGTCTCTTCAAAATTTTATGGTACATATATATATATATATATATATGTATACATGTATATATATACATACATATTTATATATTGGACGGCGACAAATTTATAAATCGATCTCATTCGCTGGAGACGAACATGTGTGTGGTTAGGTCGTGTTAATAATCATTTGAAAACCTGAAGAGACTTGTGGCTACTGCGCCACGTCGCCGATTTTTCCAAGACATCCTTTTGTAACGTTGTAGCATCGAGATCAGAAATTATGTTTCACAATTGCCTTCTGTCTTCATTCTTATCACGCGTATAGTTCTCTGGGAAAACACGAAAAGCATGTCAGCGTGTAGAGAATTTTCCGTTGCATCAAAATCACACGTTTTATTATCAAGTTTCTGTCGATGCGGTGAAAAAATCCCCAGTCGAATAACAATCTTCCAAGTGCCATCTACAGCCTACCCCCCCCCCCCCTGCTCACCCTTTCCGTGTAATAGCCCGTGAACAGATCGTCGAAAAAGAGGGATAAATCGGGAGGCCACTGCGAGTCATCGTAACTTAACGCATCATGCGCACGTCGTTACGTATTAACCTCATAAATTCCTTCACTGACACTCTAATTATAGTGTTCGGACAGTTTTTTTTCGCACTTTGTAGCCTTTATTAGTGTACACTTTGTTATCGAAGATTATTCTATGTAGCTCAACATTGCAAGAATTACATTGTGTGCATTGCACTAAATTGTGCACTCAGTTTGTTTCTGTGTATCTACCACCCACATTAATCGTCAACTTTTGCTTGTAATCTCGCTCACAGATTAAGAATATTTGATTATCTTCAAAGATGTCCTCGAAGAGAATCTTGAGTGAATCCAAACATAGCTTTGTAGGTATTCCTAGATCTTGGAAATCTCTTGGAGCTTCTTAGACAACTTTAACATCAAAACCACATGCAAGGTAGATGTGAGTCCTAGACGGGTTCGAATCAGCGTCATGTGAGGATCAAAGGCACAATGCGACTGCATTTCATTTTACACTTTATACATACAAATTCAAGCTAATATTTGCGCAAAGCATATCTCAAATGAAGTTTAGTGTTGCTGCTAAATATAACCGGATAAATTATGGAAAGTTAAAGTTGTAGGTACTCAACTGATTCACATCTTCTTCCAAAAGCCCACGCCTATTCTGAATGCCTCGCCTCGTCTATGTTAAATTTAGTGCGACTAAAACATTGCTAAGCCTGGAGTTTGACCCTATAAAACCATCTTCTTAGTCCTTTGGCTCAATCTTGCACTTTTTCTCGATTCTGTAAATCGAGCTATAGAACGATGATGCCAAGGAATTAGTTTCATTAACGTCAATGCTGCTTATCAAATAATTTATAATTTTGAAGCGCAAAGAAACTTTAACGGCTGAGTGACGGCTGTTTCAACGGGGATCAAGTTGTTTCAATTGTGTTAAGGACAACTGGGAGATGTTAAACAGTACTTGCACCTTTCATATGGAATGCATTGCCTAAGAGTTCTTCATGGTTCACATATGTCCTGAAACTTTCTATCAGATCTCGACAGCATTGTCGTTATTTGGAGTACGAGTCTCATTGTCAGTTACACATTTTGATTTGTTCTAAAGGCATCACACCATACATAGAATTGGGGATACGTTCTAAAAAGTCGAAGGAAAACACGAAACAACAAGTAGAGAAGCATGAAGCCCGAATGATAGGGCGAAGGGCACAACGAGAGAGGCGCGGTGATTTCTTGGAAGAGATTAAATGTTCTGACCATCATGTGTTGACATCAACGTGTAGGGTGTACAAAGATGAACTGAGCGTCAAATGCGGCACCTACACAGATTTAAGCACCACTTTCTAAGTACTCAAGTAACCTACGTTTGCGGTTTATGGAACCCTGATTGAAATTTATTATAGTCAAAGACAATGTTACTAGCCATTTTGAGGTCGGTACGGTAGCAATGCACCTTTGGCGGTTTCGCCCTCTTCACCAGAGCCACATGCTCCCCACATGAATCACCCTGTTGATAGTAGGGACAAGGGTAACTTCGATATGATAAAATAACGTTAGATTGCTATTTCTACGCTCTCACCACACTCCTGCACTCGATGGCATAGCGCTGTTATTCAGACAAAGCACTTTACATTCAGCTGGTTCATGAAACCTTGTTATAAACATTAAATGTAGTCAGAAAGAATGTTTCAAGTTATTTCAAGGTTGGCGCGTCGAACGTAAGACGCATTGTCTGAAATAGCAGCCGTATGCCATTGATTCGAATAGAATGGTGAGGACACGGAAACTACAAATTACAATATTTCATCGTGCCAAGTTTCCTCGTTCTTACTATAAGTGGGGACTTGCGGAGCGTGTGGCTCTAATGAAGCGGGCTAGAATCTGAAAGCAGAGCTGACTTTACTTCCTCAACAACAAGTCAAAATGCCAATCTTAACAAAGAAAAAACTTTGCTATTAACGTTATACTTTTGATTTTATTCTTGATTTGAGTCTCCCAATCTTACAAATCTTATCTATTTTGTCCATGATGTAATAGTTCTGAGATGATATCGTCCCTTCAAATATTTTTCCTTCGTTAGCAGACTAGAACAAATTCCTGTATGCCTAATAAGTGACCAGAAAGTGAACGACTTAAAGCACCCCATGGGTGCCACTCATACTACTGCATTTGATTCTATAAAATATTGTAAACCGACCACCCGTCGTATGCTGCGTTTTATGGAGGTGTGGGACCAATCAAGAGATATCCTATTCACTTTGCGCCTATATGCAGAGGCAGTCTATTTGTTATAAACAGCCATCTTCAGAATACATTTACGTCTTATTAATTCAGAAATGTCTCCTTTCATAAAACCCCATGTGGAGCTGTAAACCCCTTCGTATAGTTAACAGTTGGATGATACGTCGAATTCATCTGATTCATAACTGGCAACACAAAGATAATTGAGTAGATCACTAACATATTACGTCTAGAAAGTACATTGTTAATATAGGTCTGAAAGGATAATTTTTAGAAATATCCATCTTGCAAGCATGTGCTCCGTTTCGTTAGAAGTAGTAGCACACTTGTCGCTTCTTAATCATTTCTCCACCACTTTCTCTTCAGTCCTATGTTGGCTTCATTTTTGAGAAGAGTTATACGCGTTCCGACTAATATTGCCTGATTTAGTCTACAGAAAATACACAGAACGAAAATTAAGGTGATAACTGCACAGAAAAAGAAGGTGGCATGACCTGATCCTTAGTTGTCGAAGGAACTGTAATAAAGACACCATGTCCAAACTCACAAACCTTTGAAAAAAATCAGAGCGACTTTCAAAAACATAGGACGACATCTTCTTCACATGTTCATTACTCTACACTACAGAGAACAACATTTACAGAACAGAAACGCAACAAGTGAATATTTAGAGTACGGAATAAGTGCCACAACAGGAGAGTACATACCCTAACTCAGAACTTATTGATAGATTAAAGAAGAATACAACTCAACCGATTCACGATCAATGTTGATTCACTTCCTTGTGCTGACGATTCTTCTACGTTCGAACGGAATCTGTAATACGCTTAGGTACAGGTAAAATCAAAACATTCTACAGAAACTGCAATGGATTGCCCTTAGGTGTGCGATTCTCCACATATGTATAGAAGTACGACGGTGAAGATAAAGTTTCAGTGAGTCAACGAAAAAAAACCTCTTAAAAAACTAGTCTCGGATTCTCTATCATAGTCGAGGGCATTGAACATTTTGTCTATGTTTTGCCATACGTGCTGCCCTGAGTGATGATATCAACGAACTATCCATGCTGCAGTTTTTTTTTCAAGCAGCACACTGTTCTCTTACTAAAAGTATTTCAAGAGTGAGAGAACAATGAGTTGCAAGAAAAAAAAAACTGCGGCATGGAAAGTTCGTTGATGTTATCGCTCAAGGTACAAAACGAAGACAACTGGTCGCATATCCAACACATTCATTTGGGGTTTTTTGTGAAGAGCCGTGTCTTTGCTATCTATGCTAACTTGTTTATTCTTCTGTAGCGCCCAGAGGGCACACTTATCAATTTACTGCGTCTTCAATAATATTATAAGTTTTCAACACAGATGTACCAAGATATGGGAAAAAAATTAGGAGCAGAAAAATGGCGAGCTACAACTACCACTTTATGAGTTTATTTGATCCGTAGCACAAATTTTTATCGTCAGGTCCCACTACTTGTAGTACTCAATTCGTCCCTCCCTTGCCTGAGGACTTCTAGGCCAAGAACATCATATTTGAACTTGTGATAAGTTTTCTATGTGATATAAGAGTTGTAAATGTTCTTCAATTATGGAAATACATATAGAATAACACAGAAGTCACTGACACCATTGAAAACAATACTAAAACGTAAACGGAAGCATATATCCAGTAATGTTGAGTGATAGACAAAATTTTGAATTTCGGATGGGATTCGAATCCATGTCTCACCCATTCCGGAGGCGCGTGCTAACCATTACACTACCTGCTCTCCGAAAATGAAGACCGATATTGGCTTTCCAGGCCGCGCTGACGGCTGGCTGCCGACAAATCGGCACAACTGTGTCGAAGAGTGATAGATGAACAGGAACGTCACCAGAACAATGATTAGCACGCGCTTCGGAAAAGGTGAAACGCAGGTTTGAATCCCGCCCGACGTTCACAGTTTTGCATCACTCAGTATTATTGGATGCATACTTGCAAACTCATACCACCGCTAAAAGTGGTTGAATAAAAGGAATTCTAGCCGGTTATAAATGAGATATCTATGCAAACTGGGAATTAAGAACTCAGAAACACAGGAAAAGTCTGTTCACCTTCCAGACGGTAGATCTGATCATGTGCACTGAGTTTATCGCATGAGCTGAGAGGAGAAAAGTTGCCATTAACCCATGCGGTTGCTGCACAAAATTAGACGTACTCGCTTATGCATCAAAACATACAAAGCAGTGACTGGATCTAGTTAAAACCAAAATAGAGAGCAAAACATCGACCAGGAAATATTGAGTGACAAGGAAAAAGAAAACTTACTGATTCTTTACAGCAAGAGGAGTTGAAGTTCGCAATTCACTGGGTTCAAAGAGGAGAACCGTATCATTCTTTTTTTTTTTAAACTAAAACACCAACTGCTCAGAAAAGCAAATGCTATCACCACACTTTCATAGTCAATCAAAAAGTAGCCACGCTCTAATAAATTATTGCAGAGTGGATTGCATATTAAAAAAACTACGATTTTTTGGCTACATCTGCCTTTAGAGATGTGTCTCTGATATCTTGTTTGGGTGTGTTGCAAAGATTATTCTCACGACAGGCCAATAAATCCCCGCCATCATCCTCTTTCACCACGCTATCATCCGAATCCATTGCAATATCTCGCTCTGGTAAAACTAGAGGTACTTTTCTGTTACCGAAAAAGGTTTCTGATAAAACCTTTTTTACTAAACATAGACTCTCCTAAAATAATTGTTTTGAAGTAGCCTTCTACAGCGCTGTGGCACTAGAAATAAAATTGCATTCTGCAGGCGACACGTAATATCGCGCATATTTGTTGGACAGAGTTCTCCCTCTAAGCCATTAGTAATCATTCGATAGCGTAAAACCGGCGATTATCCTGTGCTAGTTTTTTGAAGGACCCCTTTACTGCTTTACAGCGAGGAAAATAAGAGTGAGTATCACACATGTCGCGCACTGCTTGTTGACAAGCGTGTGAGAGCCGTGTATCGATCGCAAAGCACGGTTCACGCACGCTGCGTGATTTTTGTCACTAAATTTAAGATTTTTTTAGTTTGGAGATAACTTCAAATTAAACGTAAGACACTGCCACTTCGAGATTTCCTCTACACATACATATGCTTTGATTGCATATTATTGGGCTGTTTGAGTTTAGGCATATTGGCGGGTTTATTTGGTAGTAAAAAATGCGGAGGGAAAATTTTTGAACAATAAAGAAATTACGCGTCAACGTGCGGCGCGTGTAAAACTTAATTTTATTCTCATTGATACATCGTTGTGGGAGATCTTTTTAGAAAACATGCACACTTTTGAAATCTTCGAGATCTATGCTTTCGAGTGATTGTTAAAAGTCTAATGAACTTTGTCAAGAAAAAAGATACCTTCAAAAACTTGTTTGAAAGCCAGAAAATTACTGAACTAGAGCTGGATAATTTGAGAATACATTAAATTATAATATCTAGAAAAGTACTGGAATATTTGGCCAACATTGATACAAACGTGTTGGTCTTCTGCTGACTAGAACTTCGATCCTGAATTGATAAAGTATTATGTATGTCCAGTTCTTCAAAATCACTAGTAACAAAATTATGGACGTACGCCTTCAACTTCAACATTCTTAGCTTTTGTGGAACGAGTCTCTCCTTTCTAGTGATAGGCTGATTGGGAGGTTTCCCTCGGCTGACTTTGTTTACCTCGCTCTTTTTTTCAGCACATTCGATTTTGTCGTCTTGAAATGTGTATGGCTAGATTCCACATGATATAGATTCATGAGACAAAAACAGTGAAAATATCGAGAGGTCATATATGAAAGTGAATATTGTTTCATGTCTACTGACGGCTAATAGGCGGTTGTGAAGTGCCACGAGGACGAATGGGGAGACTTGAATGTGCTTGCTTGAGTCAGTCTATGCTGTTAATGAATTGACAGATTATACAGAAGCAAAAATTACTCTAACTCTATTCCAGCTTCGTACCTTAGAATTACTCTGCACTAGGGCAGGGTGGTAAGATGTTCCCATATGTTCGCTCAAGTTATTCACCTTTCTTTGTATCACTCTTCGAAATGTTAGGTTCAGAACATATCTCGACTTCTTCGCTTAGGCACTATGGTACGCCTTGCCTTGCCTATTTTAGAGACACAGCCTGGTAAGTGCTGTTAGAAAATTTTAAAGGACGTAAGAAGAGATAGTTACTTAATTCTTCTAAACAACACTCCATCAAATGATCATCCTAAATCAAGACGATAAATCAGTCGACTATCCCATAACAGAATAATAAGCAATACAGTGTAGGACTTACGCCACTAGTAAGCTCAGTAGCGTTATAACCATTCTTTACCTGTTTGCTTGTCATTTGTTCTTCTTTCTGCACGATGTGACGGTCTGCTTTTCTGTCCCCATTAAAGACTCCATCGTGCGGCCGCTCATATCTGTTTCCAACCTTCTTTGCTGGTTCCTTAATAATGTCATAAAGAAATTTTCAAAAAGTCTTAACGTATCACATTTTTGACCCAAATATCCATGAGCAAAAATTACAAGAAAAAACTGGTACCTGCTGGTTGTACAGGGACGAATGAATGTCCACCTCATTCCCTATGCATAAATTGTTCATAGGATTGTTAATAATCGTTCTAAAGCTTAGATTTCTTACTACAGCTCCGCGTAGGTTAATTTTTTCAAAATACCATTATGACGATGTAAAATCAAAAATAAATTGTGTTATGCTTAACAGAACCACGTATTTTTTTTCTCATCTCGCTTATATTTCGGTTGACAAAATTCTTTGCCTAGAGTGATAGTAGTCATTAGATAACATAAATTTCAAAGGATTCAAAAATTTCTTTGCTTTTTTAGAAAGCTCCTTCAACAGTGCTGTAGGAGAAAAAGAAGATCCGTACCTTACACCTTGCCGGACAAAGCTCTTTTTATGCAATTAGTAATGATTCGATAGCCTAAGTATCAATGATTCCAACACTGTGCTTATTTTCTAGAAATACTGCGCTTATTTTCTAGAAATACCGTATAGCAGAAAAAATAAGATCGAGTTTTACATTTTCGACGAGCTTCTCTACTGGTCACTCCATGGGGCGGGGGAAGCAGGCACGGGACGAGGCGGGACGATCAATCAATCGTCCTAGATATGTTGTTGCTCAGTTGGGAATTTTTCTCCGCTTTGAAAAAATCTCCAGAGAGGACGACTGACTAAAATGCTATGGAAGTTTCTCTGCACGTTGATAAGCTTTTCGTGCTACCAGCAAATTATATGCGTATAGAAATGAGGGGTATGAAACATAACTTTTTTGGATGTTACAGCGTTATAAAAAGGTTTTGAAAAATCAGCCACTTCGGGCTCTAACCAAAAATCTAAGCTTTCGAAGTTTACCAACACTCCAATGAAAAATCCTTCTGCAGCAAATGAGGCTGAGTGTTCCTTTGCCCCTTATATCCGAAAAGTACCGAAAAATCTTCGCTCTACGAACCTTTCTACTGCGACGTTGTCCTCGCCCTTTGTTGAGCCTGCTTTTTTCCTGTAGGAAATTTGCTTCCTCTAAAGCTAAGTCGTTCAAACGTCTGTCATAGATCTCATTTAGTCTTAGGGCCTGGAAGTTATTTCATTCTGTTTGTAATATAAAGAAATGAACATTTTAGTTCTGTTATCTCGTTTGACGCGGGAATTCGAAGTACACGTTGCACGTTTGAATGTTTCGCAAAAGTTTTGCTGCCAATAATCCACTCAGTATACTACAAACAAACCCAAACAGTGAAGATGTTCACAATTTCACTGCAAGTTTTTCTCAACTAGTGATATACAGTTATAAGAAACTGTGTTACATGAAAGTGAGATAGGTAACACAGATGACTAAGTGACGTGACAACAAGATGGTGACAGTTGCGTGGCAGATTAAATGTTGTTCATTGAGGGCAAATGAACCCGCAAGGGGCACTTGACAGATTGGTACAAACAACTCAAATCTAAAGCATTAGAAATTCAAAATTCAAGTAACATGTATAATGAACAATAATGAAATGGTGTTTAATTATTTGTTACACATGGTTTTTGATAGGAGGTAAAAAACTTCGAACGAGAAGTAAAAATTGCATGTAAATAGACTAAAATTACTTCCTGTAGTTCTTCTATCAATGTTGAAATTCCAGCCTGTAGTTTATACATACGAGAAGTCAGTGCCTCTAAAGTAGATTTTTCATAAGCAATCGGATATAAAATAGAAAAGTACATCAAGCTCAAGAAAAGTGCAGGAAATCGCTAACAAAAACAAGATTTTGAGCCATAGAATGGGCCGTTCTTACCAATTTCGGTGTCTAACTTAGACAGAAGTCCTTGCAAGCTCTTCTGCCAATTCAAGAATTTGCTTGCGTCGAATTTTAACATATTGAACATCCGCAACAAGTGCCTTAATAAAATTACTGGATTAATGAGCAAAACTGGGACGAAATCATATGAAAAACGATAGAAAAGGGAAACAAACTCTTAAGTCAAATGCTGTCATTCGATTTGGTAATTCCTTCCGAATATTGACTTGCTTTGCTCGCATTTCTGAAGCCAGAAATCAAACCATTTACCCAGAACGATTATTTGTTACTTATGTAAGAAACACTACTCATGCTTTAGAACAAATTCTCCTGTGATGGTAATATAAACTTTTATGATGTTCGACAATACCAGCTTCTTAAAACGTTTTGTAGGCTATCACAAACGTTGAAAATAACAAGCTACCAGAATGATCGAGTTTTTGACTATGTATGAC